TAAGGCAGCGAATATCTGAGTGGGGCGGGCAGAAGTAGTGGTAGATTTGGCCAACAAACCCCAGCTTTCCCCTGAGAGAGCGGTGTTTGCGACCCGTAAGATTCTACAGCCAAACCCTGTTCTTTATACCTAAACCTAACCTAACCGACTTTGTACTGACGTAGTGTGTTCATTTTGAAAGAGACGTAAATGTGAAATTTCTTGTAAAAATGAAAGTGTATCTTGAAAGAAGACAATGCATGTAACAGGCAGAACTTGACACAGTGTCCCAAAACATCAACAACCAATGCACCCAGGGTACCTTGCATGTTGTATCTGGAATTGGAAAGTCCCTGACCAAGCACGTCAATATGTGACGAGATCGGAGTGAGAATGTGTTGTAACAAATGATCTCAAATTACAGTTATCTTGGTTCATACTTTATCAGCACTGCTCAGTGTTACTGTTTGATCTCAGTATTTTCAGCCTCCATTTTGACAATACCAGAAACAGTACGGCGTCTGCTTTTTATTCACAAATCCTCGTATTAGTGCACTAAAATATGTAGTCAAAACATACAGCAACATAATCTTGGGTTATATTTGATCAGCACTGCCCAGTTTGATCTGAGTTTAGTCTGAGTTTGAGTTTGAGCAAGACAGACGGATGGGTCTTTTATAGTTTCCTTGAGAGAAATGCAGAAGTACAATCTGTAGTTCAAGCAACATCCCGAGGGCAAGCGAAAACTGTTGAGCTGAGAGATGAGCAGGGAGATCTGTGTGTTGGCAAGATGGAGGGAAGTTTATCACAGTTCATTTACATATTCTTTTATATTCTTACACATTGTCATGGTACAAAGCTGGTTGGGAATCAGCAAAGTATGCCTTTAATTGTAGGTATAGGGAAACTCCTCCAATTTAGTCTGTCTTGGGGAGCACTACTGCAAATATGAGGAAAAAAAGTTTCATAAATCCTTGTGTGACTCCAGAGGCAGGAAGTGTTAAAAATAGAGTGGTGCAGGAATGAGTCCTAAAACCAGGAAATGAGTTAGCATTTTAGCACTCCCGGATCCCTCGTCTCGAAATCAATGGGTTTTTGGTTAGATGTCTGAAATAACGTCTGTGGTTACCACAAGCTTAAGAGACTTTCATGTTTTGTTCTACGTCATAATATACGTCAGTGAATACCCCTCATGGGAATTTTGAAGCTTTTAGGTGTCTCTTAAAAAAGGCAGTTGCTAACAAGTGGCTAAATGAGACTACAGAACACGGCTTTACAGCCTTGTGTGGTGTGACGGTGAAGTCATGTTCGCTCTTTTTACTTCTTGCGATTGCATTTATGCTTCAAAAATCATATAGTGTGGTAGTGTTGTTCATTTGTGGAGATTATCTTGCTAAGTATTATACACTTGTGTTTGCCACAGAGCTTATTTCCTGCAATAATCCAAAATCTGATGGAAAAATCCCAGTGGCTTTTTGACAAGGTAACCAGGAGGATGTTAACTTCTGTGTCAGGCTATAAAAAGACGTCATCCCTGCAGCACTCTATTGCCTCAAGTGATGCCAACGGTCAAGTTGCATTGTGGGTAATGTAGGCCCCAAGTTTTGACAAGGAAGAAAACTGCATTGAATTAAAAATATGACATCTGCTGCAACAATTTTATCCTTTTCATTCATGAGTCTGACAGTGTTAGCATAAAGGAGTGCAATGCTAAATCTATGGAAAATTCTTCCAGCATTTCCCCACCAGTGAATGGGTGTGGTGGGTCATTATGCCTCTAAAATCTGTCAACACACATAAACGCACCTCTCTGCCTGGCAATGGAGAGCTTTTGTGTTCACGCTCTACAAGCTGTTCCGGACACTTTCCTGTCCTGACATGAGGAAAACTTTGAAATCTATTGAGTCTGCCTTGGCATGAAATGTTTCTGTGCGCAGCCTTTTTGCAAAAAAATATCAGTGCCAGCCATCAAAACCTGAGCTGAAACTTTGTATACAGGGCTTTTGAAAGGAAGCCAAGCTGGCTATCAACTGAGCCTGGCCTGTCTGCACTGTAAATACAAATAGAATCAGGGAGAGGAAAGTGGACTCATCTTGCAGCTCGTCTTCTCTGTGCACAGTCAGGCAGGTTGAAAAGGGAGCATTCTTTGCCAAAAAGTTGATGCATCCCTTTTTAGAAGGACGGACAGCACTGGAGCGAAAATGACTGTATCTGTGGAGAGTGTAGCATTAATACTGTAAGAATATTTTCTCAGTAACCCTTTTCTTTTTGTCTCCCGTTTCCTGCTCTGTCTTTCTCCAAAACCCCCAATTTCCCCGNAATAAATAAAATGAAATAAAAACAATAACTCAATAAATAACTTAAAAATAAATAACTAAACAATAAATCAGTCAGTCAGTGCACAAACTATTCAATGTGCAAATATGAGCAACTGAGGTAGAATTTTTGACGGGAACCATGTTAACTGTTTCATTCAAACGCTTTACGCTACAATGTTCAACAACATACTGCCCACTTATAACAATGGACACCACAAAAACCCACTTGCTAGTCTATGTATTTACAGACATGTGCTACACGAACACACAACTTGTAATTCAGTCTGGTCCAGGCCTGCCAGTACTTCCTGGATGACAGTAAAAGTGGGAGTGCATCAGCTAACCTGGGGGTGTCGTTCATCACACCATCATCCTCCACCACATTAGCAGTGCTGGCAGGACTGAAATGAACAGGACTGTGAGTGATGTCTCATCCGACTCCTCCACCTGAAATATACATACAGGATCAACTGTAAGGTTAACTTTAGGAAACTAGACAATTGCATTGATATTACAGGTGAGTTTTGCACAGGTCAGTACTCAGAGGGTTCACAACGGAGGTGACTGTACTCAAGGTCACCATCCAACAGGAATGTTTATCAGTAGGTATTCTATTGGATAATATTATACAGGTCAAACCGTAGTAACAACCTAGCAACTGTCCTTGTATTATCCCCGTTGAGTCCACCAGCTAACATGACCATAATACTGTATAGAGATTGTCGGGTTTCCCAAACTATATAAATACCCCATAACACAAAACTGCTTTGCTAGCTCAGTCTTGTTACAACTAACATGCCTGCTGATTTTTTTTCCCTTAACATACAGACTTAGCTCTGACGTCCACAATCTTAACATGTATTTTTACATGAATAAAATTAATAGCCTAAATAAATAAAAATATTTAAATCATATCCTAGCACTAGACTCATTTGAAAGACCACAGAAAATTACTTTTAGCTCCCCTACAAGGATTTTTAATTGTTCCAAACTACAATGGATTTAGGCCTCCTTGATACTTTTATACTCATGTTATATTTTTGTGTCCTGTGCTGCAAACCTTTAAACCTCTGTAGCTCCAGGGCTGTGTGCAAGAAGTTAACGTACAGCCCTGCTATTTATTATACATCATTTTTCATTTACATGTTGTGCAGCTGTATCATCTGTATCTGGATCATTTATTCATACAATATCCTAATAACCCATATTTAGGTAGCTTTTTGCTAACCAGCTTTTCAGGTTATTTGAAATACAGGACAAAGTTTAATAAATGCTGACTTCCCGTGTGCTTGTATTTCAGCTGCATATTAGGATATATCATATTTTCAGGATTGTGAAAAGTTTTTCTGTAGATTGTAGCCCACATACATGAAAACATATAGAGCATGTGTGTGTCCAAAGTGTATGTAACTGGTGGACTCTGGTGTTGATATAAACAGACGCAGACTATGGATATTTTTGGGAGGCGATCTACGTTTATTCCTGACAACAAGACGTGAAAACAAAATCCTCCGGATGTAACCATATGACCTCAAGCAGGATTATGTTAGCATAAAATAAACATAGCTCAACAGCGCTAAAACACTTACCTCTCCCATGAAGTACAACAGCAAAAGGGGAGAGGAGTATCAAACGTTCCACAGAGTGACAATGGAGGCCTAAGTGTGTCAGGTAATGACAACTGAAACAAATTTAGTGTCAGTATAATACTTAATGTACACCTGACTTTATTACACATATTACTGCTGTATAATTGGCCCTGTTACATGTACCAAAGCAACAGCAGCTGCTGCCTCATCTTCTTCCAACCATTCATTACACTAAGTTCACCATAAACATTTAAATTAACAAGGAAACCATCCATTTTGTAGCAGTTCCGTAGCCTTGCTCTAACAGTTACAACGTTGCCATGGAAATGGTGGAGTAATATTCACAGTGATGAACCAGGTGTGCTGCAACTTAGCATTCTGTAAACTTCCATGTTCGTGTATTTAAACCTTTGTGGTAGGTAAAAGTGACAGCTAATGATAACCACTAATGTTAGTTCATTCAGGTGTACGCAGGCGCTTTGTATAAACGACAGGAACACACTTAAAACCTGTAGAAATAGGAGTTCAGAAGCGGAATAAAAACGTTAGCATTATGGCACTGCTTGGACGTTACATTGATGTCATCAGGCAGTGACGCGACGCTATTCAAAAAAACTATGCGCGAAGCTCTGAGCAACGTTACCCCGAATAAACAACGCAGTCTAACTATCTTACATTTTATTCACTTTAATATTATTACCGTGCAATACTGCAACACGCTTGTTTGTTTGTTTACTTACAAGGTGCACCAACTGTGGACTCCTGTTGCAGGCGAGGGCCGCCATGTTGGATAGATTTTTCTGTGAACGTCGGTTAGAGCCGCGACGTCGTGACGTATGACGTCGACGCTGCGTCCGTCAGTCTTGAAGTTATCAGAAATCAATATTCACTCAAAAGCATTGATTCACAGAAAATAAAAACAGCATTACTAGGTCAGATAACTCAGTAGTTTATTATTAGGTTAACTTATTAGCTGCTTTTTAATTTCTGTACCCATAATACTCATGAGTTAGTCGTACTGTTTGGGTTTACACTACAGTGTATACAGTTTATAAGCATCCTGGAAATTACCAAATGACACAGTCCAACAGAGCCGCCCTCTTTCCCAGCAGAGATAAGCGTGTCACACAGGAGGAACAGAGTACAACACAACACAACACTGTCAGAGCCTTAGGACAGACAAGCTGCTACAGGAAGTTGCACAAGACAGGTATGAGAGTTTTATAATTTAATTCTAAGGTTCTGTTGTGGAATAAATGAGATCATCTTCAATATAGCTCCAGCATTTATAAGGAAAGTTTTGATTGTTGTCAGATGGAAGTGACAGGCTGTGTGCTTATTATTAAATTAGAACTTTGTCACACTGTTTATAGCCTAGTTCGTGTAAGTTATGTGTAAGTTAGTTTAACTTTTAGCCACTGACAAACTGGCAAAACATAAATCCACTACCAGGAATATATTCTTATAGTGAATACTTTTACTGTGTGTTTTTCTTATAAATGCAGCAGTCAACTAGTTATCTTAAATTCATCTTTTATCAGAATTTTGATTCTGACTGGCAAGGGGATGTGAAAACATTTTGAAATTGCCACATGGCTCTGACGAAGGATCCTCATCACTCCTCTGAAATGATGCCAGCCTGTGACTAATCCTCCGAGGTGGGAGGTTGTTTGTTTCAGGTGTTATGGCTTGTACTAGTCGAATGAGTTACTTCCCACCATAAATGGACAAGCAATACTTATAATATATATACATACATATATTTATTGATTTCTTTATTTCTATGTAATCTACTCTCACTCCCTCCTGTGTTAATTTTGGCCCTGATAAGGATGTACGTATTTAATCTCTGCAAACAATTACAACCTACTTAAGTGTGTGTGTGTGTGTGTGTGTGTGTGTGTGTGTGTGTGTGTGTGTGTGTGTGTGTGTGTGTTCTGGCAGATAATACAGGATGCCCAAATTTAAACTGAACAGTTTTAAAAGTGAATTTGTGCCAACCTCAATTAAGATTAAGTATTAAAGGGATAGTGCACCCAAAAATGAAAATTCAGCCATTATCTACTCACCCATATGCCGAGGGAGGCTCAGGTGACGTTTTAGAGTCTTCACATCACTTGTGGAGATCCCAGGGGAGAGGGGGTAGCAACACAACTTCACCTAATGGAGGCTTATGGCGCCCCAGAATCAAACGTCCAAAAACACATAATTGAAACCACAAAATATCTCCATACTGCTCGTCCGTAGCGATCCAAGTGTCCTAAGGCCCCGACATAAAAAGTTATTTGAAAAAATGTCATTTGAACTCTGTTTTTAGCCTCATTGTAGCCTGCAGCTCTAATTGCCTCTCTGTGAACCGTGCTCCATGCACAACTTTTTATGTTGGGGCTTCAGGACACTTGGATCACTACGGACAAGCAGTGAGGAGATATTTTGTGGTTTCAATTATGTATTTTTGGACGTTGGAATCTGGGGCGCCATAAGCCTCCATTAGGTGGAGTTGTGCTGCTACCCCCTCTCCCCTGGGATCTCCACAAGTGTTGTGATTACTCTAAAACTTCACCTGAGCCTCCCTCGGCATATGGGTGAGTAGATAATGGCTGAATTTTCATTTTTGGGTGCATTATCCCTTTAAGCTCCAAAGTCCAGGCCACATTCGTATCGTTTCGTCTCGTCTCATAGCGTCTCACATCGTCTCGTCTCGTCAAGTAAAATGAGCCTCATGTAGCATCATTCTGTTGAATTTCTATTACATTTTCTCTTAATTTTCTGGTCAGAGAAAATATAAAAGAAGTCACCTCACATGTAAAAAAACGTTCTCAAGCATCCAAACCTGCTCTTACCTAGATGTACTGAATAATTTTAGCAGGGGTAACGCCCCCTAGACACTATATAAGGGCAGGTGCTGTGTTGTGCTGTGTAAAGACTCTGGCACAGGGCCAAGACTGGAGAGATGCCACCAGATTAGGCTGTAAGAAGAAGAAAAACCTCTGTCGTAGTGCAATAAACATACTGTTTAAATGTGGTTTCCAGAGTGTCAGTGCTGACGTTACAGGAAAATCAAAAACCCAGCGATGACAAAACACTTTAGGCCAGGAGCCAGGTCCACCCCTCATGATGTTTTCTGCTGCCTTTGTTTTCCATTAGTATTTCCTGTTGGCCTAGACCTTGGGCCATCATAGGCCAAATGACGAGGACCCCTAACTCAGGGTCACTGGGTCTCAGGGGGCCCAAAACATGCTTCTGGCGAAATGATGTAATATCAGGGCACTACGATGGCGTAAATAGTCATACAAGTATGAAATTTGGCAAGGAGTATCCTGACACAAAGAGGGAAGTAGCAAAATAAGATTGTGGGGCTTGCTGCCATTTTATTTCAAAATATCACACATAACATCCCCCCCAAAGAAAAACAAAAAGTAACTGTCCCTTGTCATTTTTCATCACTTTGTGTTTAATATCACTGCTTCACTTGTACATAGACAACCTCCCAATTTCAACCCAAGTTGACCTTTCTATCTTGAAAATTACACTTGCTTAGGCTTAAATTTGTCACCATAGCCTACCTCACAGGGAAAACATAATTTTCAGTCACCAGCCTTCCAGAGAATCAACTTACCAGCAATGTGAACCTGGAAGTGTTGAGTTCCCCAAAGTTTTATGTTAGAAATGTACAGAATGGGTCCCCAGCATTTAGAAACTGGCGAACGCTAACTTGCATACGTTGGGGAATTTGCATCATTAGCATTGGTTAGCATAATCACCTATGTAGGCTATATTTCAGTAACTGTTTGCCTGATTTGGACAGTACTGGAGTGGAGTGCTGTATAAATGCCGTGACAGCAGCAGTAGTGGAGAAAGTATTCAAATCATTTACTTAAGTAAAAGTACTTATACCAAACTGGAAAAATAGTCTTACTAGTAAAAGCTCTGCATTGGTCCTTAAGTAAAAGTATGTGAGTACAAACAGGGAAATGTACCACATCTTTCCACAATATGCAGGAGGAAGACTTCCTCTGCTCCTTAATGTGGGCCTGTGAAGACTGGACAATGCTGCATCCTCGACTTGATCCTGTAATAACATCAAAGATTACAGTAGCCTCTCACTGCAGAACTTCTGCAGGTCTTTCACCACAGCCTTCCATACTTTCCTGGTACTCCTGACATCCAGACAGAAGCCTTTGTGCAGAAAACCCATTCCTCACTGTCAGCGGGGTAACAACCAGTCAGAGCTCGTTCTCACTTTCTACGGTTGTAGCCTTAGAAGAAGAAGGATCAGCAGACTATGTGGATGTTTGACCTCAGTTGTTTTCCTTCACTAGGATCGCCTCTGGTATATTTTCTTCAGAGACAGCGCCTGTTTGTGGTTCTTCTGTTTAATATATCATACTCATTTCAGTCGTCTTCAGTGGTTCAGTCGGCTTTTTAGTGAGATCCGATCCTGAATGTGGGAAATGATGTGCGGATGAGTCACTGATTCTCGACACATACAAACACACAAACATCTGGTTAAGTAGTTTGTTAGTACTGTATGTCAGCCAAAAAGAAGAGAAAGGTTAGAGAGGTCGGTGTTGTGGTTATGTTGATGCCTAGCTGCTGTGAGATCCTTTAGACAGAACACTTATCCACTAATACAACTGTATATGACTTACACTCTAACCATTTACAGTCATCCTCCCTTGGCACTTGATGATATAAGCAGTTGAGGCAGCATCAGAAAAATAAAGCATTAAACAATAGACAAGCCTTCCAATAGGCGATGTAGGCAGAAGCCTAGGGCGCTACCCAGTGGGGGGGCGGCCACCTAGGGCCAACAAAACTGAAGGCAAGGGAGAATTATCCAAAGATCTAATGTTAACAGCCAGTCAGAGATAGGTATCGTGGAGTGGAGTGGCACGATTTTTACCAAGTAGAACATGTTCCTGGATCAACATCCCACACTGCGTTCCAGGACCAACTTTGCAATCAACCAATCACAGCCCTCTGACATCATCAGCATGCTGCTGCGGTGCTTCTTTCAAAATTCCTTTGCGCTCCTTCAGAGCTAACCTAATTTTCCAAATTCAAGTTAATACAACTCAACAAAATCCTCAGCAACACTGTACAAAAACCTTGTAGGCTACTGCAGGGTTAGCGAATTATCTTGCTAACTAGGTAGGCTAAACTAATGAGTAAACTTGCTGATAGACTGGAATATTAGCAAGTAAGTTCGCTAACTAGGTAGGCTCAACTATTGAGTAAACTTGCCAATAGACTACAACATTAGGAAGTAAGCTCCCTAACTAGGTAGGCTAAACTAATGAGTAAACTTGCCGATAGACTACAACATTAACAAGTTAGCTCGCTAACTACGTAGGCCATGCTAACAAGTAAGATTGCCAATAGGCTAAGATATTGTTCATTAACATTAAGAGTAAAAATGATGTCATTTTACAGTTTCAAAGACCTGTCAAGGACACATTTTCCCTCTTTTTAATAGCATATTAAAAACTATTTTTGGCAAGATTGCAATGCTTGTGTTGATCCAGGACCATCACTGCCATGCTGACCCTGGATATATGTTTGTTGATCTAGAACCATCGTCATCGTCATCATCTTAATCCTGCTTAATTTGTTTAGGTTAATCCAGGAACCAGGATCATTTTTAATTGACACAGGAGTATCCTGTGTTGATCCTGCATAAATTGTTTGCTCTAGGGACATCTTTGCCATGTTGAACCTGAATACTATGTTTATACTGATACAGGACCATCTCCATAATGTTGATCCTGGATAATTTGTTTGATCTCGACCATCATTGTCGATCCTGAATAGAATCACTGATGTTGATCCAAAGCGTCATTGCTAATGTTGACATATACAATTGATCTAGAATCAACACGATGATGGTGGTGATGGTGGTGGTGATGATGATGATGATGATGATGATGATGATGATGATGATGATGATGATGATGATGATGATGATGATGATGATGATGATGGTGATGATGGTGGTGATGATGATGATGATGATGATGATGATGATGATGATGATGATGATGATGATGATGATCCTGGATAAACCTAACCAAATCTATCCAGGATCAAGGTGGAACAAAGGAGGGAAAATGTGTTAACTGCAGGAATTTGCAACTAAAAAATTACATTATCCTTAGTCTTTGTCAATGAACAATATTTTAGCCTATTAGCAAGCTTCCTTGTTAGCAGAGCATACCCAGTTAGCAAGTTATCTCGCTAACCCTGCAAAAGTTTTCATGGTTTTTGTTCAGTGTTGCTGAAGAAAACTTGTTCAGTTGTATTAACTTTGGTATGATTGGTCGATCGCAATGCTGGTCCAGGAACGTTAGCGTGGGATGTTGATCCAGGGGGTCCATGTCATTGGTCCGACAGCCCATTGGTCCGACATCCCATTAGTCCGACGGTCCACGGTACTGAACAGCTCCAGGCAGGCGTATTTCTACCTAGATGGTGCACCGCGACCGGCTCTGGGTCAGCTGGGAAAGGCTTGAGGCGAAGCAGGCTCACGGCTTATGTGTTTGCCACTTTCTTTTTCATTTTAACCCACACCATGATCTTTTCCTGACCCTAACCAGTGGTTTTTGTGCCTAAACCTAACCAGACCTTAACCACAGCGCATCATGATGATTTCGGAATGGACTTCAGAACAATGGGTTTAATATGGTCGGAACAATGGGATGTCGAACCAATGGGCTGTCGGACCAATGGGCAGTTCCCGATCCAGGAGCATGTCCTACTTGGCAAAATCACGTCTTATGAGAGGAGTGTATGTGAAGAGCATTAGAGTGAGAGAAAATGAAAAGGCTAAAGCACTGTGCAAAAAGAAAAAAGAAGCTAAAATTTGCAGACTTGGTTTGCACATACCATCTTCTTGCATTATGTATTTATTGTAGTTGTTTATTTGAGTTGATTTCTCATTAGCTCTTGAGATACTGTAATTCGTGTGTGTACTAATACAAGTCTTTGTTTTCTGTGCAGATATACAGTATCCAGCAACCAATGGAAGACACCATCATCTATGCATGCTGACACAGCACAAAAGCAAACCACAGGTTTCACTCAGACATTTGACCTCATGTCAGAGCCTCCTAAGTGCTGCATCTGTCTGGATGAGTTCACCAGACCTGCTTCCCTCCCCTGTGGACACTGCTTCTGCCTGGGCTGTATCGGTGAATACTGGAGGATCAATGGGGCCTGTCAGTGCCCCCTCTGCAAGGCCTTTTTTCCCACCAGGCCACAGCTCAAAACAGACCAAACACTACATGCTGGTGCCACGACCGAGGAAGCAGCCGTGCCTTTAAAAGCCGGAGAGGTTCCCTGTGATTTCTGCCCAGTGAAGCGTAGAGCAGTAAAGTCCTGCCTGAAGTGCCTGGGATCATACTGTGCCGCTCATCTGGAGCCTCATTACCAGAGCGAAGATCTTGGGCGCCATCTTCTGATCAGTGTGGTGAAGAACCTGGAGGACTCTGTGTGTCGACTGCATGGGAAGCAGTTAAACAGGTTCTGCAGGAGCGATCGAACGTGCGTCTGTGACGTGTGTGCCCAGACAGAGCACAGGGGCCATCACATTATATCTGTCAACAAGGAAGCTACAAAGAGGAAGGTAAAGTCTAATAAAAGCACCACACCAGGAAACATTTAAGTTGTGTTTGTGTATGACTAGCAACATTAGTGTGTTACTTTGCTCAGACAGTAATGTTGTCAGCCCAAACACTGGACTTTGCAACTTATTTAAAGTTGAGGAAATGTATCAGTTGTATCAGATTTAGACTATGTAAGTTTTGAGAGAATAAATAATAATTCCATTAACAAAACATTTCTAAGCAATAAAACACACAGTTTCAACAACTTTACACGGTCAGAGTGGCCATAAATATAACATTTTTCACTTTTAACTCTTTCACCTTACACCCTAAATGTGTCTGCTATCATATGCCACTTAAACTTTTCTAGAGAAAACAAGTCTTGAGGAGTTAAACCAAAAGTGGACACTGTCCAATTTTACAGTTAAAGTGTATGTGAGTGCTAATTGTAACGGCGTGAGCTACGGTTTTAACACATGTATAAAACAGCATTTAACCATTGAAATGGCAAAGCCACAATATTTAAGTCAAGCAGCTGTTTTACGTTGATTTCATATCAAACATATGATCACATCGTGTAAATAACATAACAGTATTGCCGTTTTGGGATGCACCCTGCGTTTTATTGACAAAAAAACTACAAGTTATATCAGCAGAATCAAGTAGAATGGGATATAGTGTAGGTATATGAATGGAAATACCCTGGACATGATAACACATGCAATCACCGGCAACCTACTGTAATGTAGTGTATAATAATTGACATGTCAACATGCAGCAACCTTCAGGGGTGGGTTTTTTTTCTGATGGTGCAGTGGTGAAAGTGGAGCAGTGTGGATGAATGAAAAATGAAAACAATAGTTTATTTTGGGTGGCAACGCATTATGTGACATTGTAAATGTAATAATATTACCCCAAATCCTGTTGGTAATGTGTTATAATACTTCATTACTGCTAAAAAGTAATATATTACTGTAACACATTACCCCAAACACTGGTTATATGTGTATGATATTATATATGTACAAGTTAACCAATCAAGCTGCACTTGCAAAGCTAGACAGTTAGAAATCTGCCTAGAAAGCCGCTGGACGCACTCATGCTAGCAAGCATGTTATGTGAAAACTATGCTAACTGACGAAGAACAGATACTTGCAGACAACTTTGTGGACTTTAGCTCCACAATGTACAAACACAACTTTAAATTCAAAGAATGTCTCTGAAAATTTTTAGCTGGTTTTGCTCATTGGTTTTCCAGCCACCGTTACCTGCAGAGTCAACCTGGTCTCAGTCATTGAAATAAGGCGCTTGGGCAGTGGGTTGCAGCGTCAGACACTGCCGAAAAAAGCTGTCCTTTAACATTGGCATGACAGGCGGCCAGTCGTCGTTATAGTGTAATGGCGCCTGGCGGCATCAGGGGAAACATGGCAGGACAAGGATGAAAGTTAAGGCGGCTAGAGTCCAAGTAAGGTGGGTGGGAGGGGTCCAACAAACATCAACTTTCACCTGGGAGAGTGGTGTTCACATCTATATAAGATTATAAAACCAAACTCATTTTTTTCGTAAACCCAACCATGTGTTATTGTTGCCTAAACCCAACCATGTGCCTTAGTTGTTGGAAGAAAAAAAAACATTAATTTGTGTTGTTGTGCCAACGTAGTGCTTTTATTTTGAAAGAGACTGTATGTAAACATTAAATTTCCTGTGAAAACAGAAGTATATTTTGAAAGAAGAAGATGCATGTAACAGGCAGAACTTGACACAGCATCCCAGAACGCCAACAACCAACGCACCCAGGGCACCTTGCACGTTGTATCTGGACTTGGAAACGTCGTTATGTGACGAGGCCGGTGTGAGAATGTGTTGGCTGGAGAAAGAAAGCTCAGTGCTTATTTTAATGGATGGGTTTTGTTTCTATGCAGCAATATCTTGACACTAACATTAGCTGGGTAGCTAACGTAACGCTACGTTAACAGAGAGTTGACTATACAGTTTACAAGCTAACAAGCATACTGCCATAAAAGCACAACACTCGCCATCAGCATTCAGTGTCTGGCTGATCTGCTCCAACAATTGTTAGGGTTGAGCCGCATACTCGGATGAAAAGAGTACAGATAATGTATTTTTATGAGCACAAGTATCATACGAGTAAAATGTGTCATTATCTGTACTCACGAGAAAGGAAAATCCGAATCTGGGTAGCTATGTTTAATCTATTACTCCTGTGATAAAGGATCATCTAAAGCCCAATTCTGAGGTTATTCTGTAAATACTTTTCTCATAGATTATAAATATTGCAACTTCTGATTAATCTATATAAATTTCAGGCTTAAAGTAACTACTTTCGATTAGGCCCAACCTACTTTTGTTCTAAACCACGCCCACATGTTATAATTCCTCCCATTCCAAATACAGATACAAATAATTTAGTTGGTTGAAGATACAGACAGATGCAGATGATGTTCTCGCTCATCCCTAACAAATGTGCTCTTTTGTCTTTGTTGTGACATTTTATGACTGACATAACATACAGCTCAGGATAAACAGTAGCTAAAGGAGCAGCAGTGACAACCCCAGCTTCTTTGTGACAACTGCGAAAATTCTGAACTACTTGTACAAGTGCTCAGAGTGACCACATAAAAGCCAGGGCACTCTGGAAAAACACACCATGTGGACACAGGCCCTAAGTTGCCATTAACATGTGACTTCAGGAAACAAATTAAACCAATAACCAACAGAACACTGGAAACCTCCACGCTGCTTTTTACAAAACAAAAGTGAAACCTGCTTGCATGTGTTTATTTTGTTGTGTTTATGAGGGTGCTTCAAAAGCTGAGAGCTAAGGAAAAGATTTCAGCGATTTCCCGCAATGACAAATTGTGTTTGATCACTACATTTAAGTGAAAGAGGAAAAAAAAAAAGAACGCGGAGGGGGAAGCATAAACATAGTTTCTATGACAGTAACCTTCAAATTTTAGAGAACATCTGGTCTTAATTGTGAGAAACAGTAAAAACCGCTGCGATGACAAATATTTAAACATGTTCTCATTTCACCACATTTTTATACAAAAATACCACAATTATTTTGACAATCATCATGATTATAAAACAAGGAGGAGGAGGAAATACACAAATAATTACTCAGAGAAACTTTAAAGCATGTGGGTTGAAGGTCTCTAAATCTCAGACGTAAATCAGTAGTCAAAGGAATAGAAGACTAAACATCAGTGATGGATGTGTGGTCGGGGTTACAATATGCTTCAAAGTCAAAACGCTGATTGAACAATGCAACAATGACGCTTAGCATTGGTTTCTATTTCCATTAATTACACTGTGCCTGCATCTCATCACATGCCACAACAATTCTGCTTACATACTGTTCTTTTTCCCCATAGTTCAAACTAAAATGGAGAAGAATGAAACTTCAACAAGCCATTCAAGAGAGACTGAGTAAAGTTGAGAAGATCAAGCTCTCTGCAGACCTGAGCGGAGAAAATCGAAAAGAGGCATGGGCACAAAATAAAGACCTCATCAGACGGCTGGAGGAAGAAATCTCGGAGCTGCAGAGGAGAAACACTGAGCTGGAGCAGCTCTCACAGACCGATGACGACCTCCACTTCCTGCAGGTCTGCGTGAAGCTTGAGAGTCCACTTCACAACTACCACTGATCCTTCAGTGCAGCCTCTTGTGCTTCCTCTACAGAGATTTCTACACACTGCTTCGTATTAACAATTGGACAAATATGTTCAGGATTCACCTTCAAGAGCACTGAAATAACGTTTTTTCTTTTTTTTTTCTTTAAATGCAGCATACCTTGGACAGTGTGTTTGGTTCAAATGATTAGTTTGACATTTTGGGAAACACACTTATTTACTGACATGACCCCCACATCTGTCCATTAAATCCGAGACTACAGCCTGTTTGTTTAGTTTAGCATAAACACACTCTATTCTGTTTGTTGCCAGGCAACAAAACAGAGATTCCAGGAAGTTAGAGCCAAGCAGTATTTTGGGAGACAAAACTCTCACGAAAAGGCGTAATGTCGTTTTTTCACATTGGTTAATGAAGGGAGTAATTGGTGTAGGAGAGACTTTGTGACCTTACAGAGCCAGGCTAGCTGTCTCCAGGGGCGTGTCCAAGGATTGGCCTGGGCCACACCTGAAATCCAATTGGCAACCCTGGTGCCACCCCATTATCCTATGTTATAACGAGCCTTCTGCCTGGTAGGAGGTGGCCCTAAGGCTGAAATATTTAAGTTTTGTTGGTACTTCATCGGTACTGTGACCGTTTACTTTTCAGCTCTGCACTTTTCGGGTAAATAGACTATGATATGGTGCTTGTTAAGGTTGCTTAGCAACTTAAGACGCAAGCTGCCGCTGTGCTCTTGAAAGCTGGCACAAAAAAGGCACAAAAGTAGCGCCCAGCGCCCGACCTCATGTTTTCCAGGCAGTTAAGACACAGCATGAGTACATCCCCTAACATCCAGACGAAGCTCCTGGACCAACTGATGGTACTCCCTGTGGTTTCTCCTCTTTCTGACAGTCTCATGTACCTACACAGATCTGTTTCCTTGTGACCAATGTACTACTCAGGAATACCCTCTCACCTTCAATCAGAGCCAGAGCAAGTGCCCTGCACCCGTGCATATTTTTATGCAGATTTAAGGTACAGATCTGTGAGTTCACTTCACAGCAAAATTGCAATTGATTTGATGGTGTCCTAGCAATTAAAAAGACACAGCAAGCTGCAAAAGCACTCTGTCTGATCAAGGCCTCAAAGAATAAAGTATAAAAGCACTGTATTACAATTTAAAACAGAGAAATGTAAGAAAATGTAAGATACTGTGATGTTGATAAAGAAAATATGAGTAGTGAAGACAGAAATGGTAAATTACTGGCATTCTGCCCCATTTGGGCCATCCCAGCCAAATAGTCTGGACACACCACTGGCTTTTTCACAGACCTTCCAGTTTTTGTGCTAAGCTAAGCTAACTGGCTGCTGGTCATAGCCTTATATTTAAGGGACAAAGATGACAGCAGTATTGAGCTTCTCAAATAACTCCTCTAGACAGTGTTTCTCTAAATGTCACAGTTTTGCTTTTACAGATTCATGTTTAAAGAAACAGTAAACCTCAAAGACAATAATAATAATAGCTTAAATCCAGTAGGTTCAGCTTGATCCAGGAAGTGACCGCTGACTCATTTTGAATGTATTGAATGAATGTAATTTATGCCTGGCTGGATGATGTGATTCATTTTAAGGATAATGAGCTTGCAGGCGGTACAATGTGTCAGCATTTGAATGTTTATTTTTTTTTCCATTTTTGCACAAATGAATAAAACACTGTATTTTTGCAAAACCATATCACAGATGCATTTTTGAATAAAAAATACCACAAATCAATACTTTGGTTTGTTGGAGTGTACTTTTGCCTCGAAAGATGTCAATGAACCGTATGGAGAGTGATCACTTTAAGTCTACCAGTCAAACATTGAGCAATACGCAGAGCTGTGAACACAAAACCTCAGTGAGTGTCCCAGTAAAACCTTTTGGCAGGTCCAGAATTCGATCTGTGTGAACTTGCTCAACGTGCACCACACCCTGCAGCAGGCGAACAGACGATTTGGTTGCTCATTTGCTTGCCGACATGCCTCTTTCAGTAAAGGAAGTAACTGGCAGAGGTTTTAAACAGAAATGAAACTTAAGAGAAGGAGGCCAGCCCAGAGGAGGGACACACACACAAGGTGGGAGTGGACAGAGAAGCCGACAAAAGCCTGTGAGATTCGGAGCATCTCAATCATCGAAAGGTAATATTCAACTTACATCATAAAAAATATTCTTAAAAATGCATGTCTGTTCAAAAAGGGACTGACAAGAATGAAAATACTTTGAGAGCCTGTTTAACCCTTTTTACTGTAGGGGATTAGTAGTATTATTCGATTATTGTACAATTAAAGAGTTTAAAACGTGCTAAATTAAACTCCAGTGTGATCACCTGTGGTGTTTCAGACAGATTTTTACTGCATGGTTTGGCAAAGTGTGTGTTTCCTCCGTAAGTTTCAATGCTTTCTTTCCTAATTTTGGGATTTCATACACACACACACACACACACACACACACACACACACACACACACAATTATCCAGTGGGTGTGTCATCAGTAATACCTTAGTGTAGAGTTACAACGATGATTCTACTGACGTTTCCTTGTTGTGCGGAGAGATGCTTCGTCATCTTGACTTTTGAAATCTGTCCAACAAAAACCCATTGAGACATAAAGTAACCCACAATTCTTATTACCTGTGCAAGAAAACCTGTGTCCTCAACACTGCTGTCCATCCAGGCTCTTTTCAACAGGGTAACTACTACAAAAGACACAACATCTTGTTTCTACAATCAATGTCTCCTGACTATGCACCAGTTAAACTGTACAAGGGTGCTGATGTTCATAAAAAGTGTTCTGGAATCCAAAAATCTCAGCAACTGGTGAAGAAATCATTGAATTACTGGAAAGAAATGTCAATTTTTATGACCTCTGCAACTGTAATATTTCATTCAATGGCACCCCCTGAAATTTTTCATAAGGGTTGCCAGATGGGGCTACTAGAAATCTCACTGGGGTGGCACTTCAAAACCAAAAATCCATAACTGAATTCAAAGACTTTGATTATGCTGTTGCAGTAAAAAGGCTGGCTGCAAATTATAAATATGAGAGTATATGCTTTGATTTCTTATTTTACAGTTAATATTACTAATTATCTGATGTGCACACTAATACTAATACCAGAACAGTTGGGTGTGGGTACCCATAGAACCTGTTTTCATTCAGGTATCTTTGGGTAAAAGTTAAAAGGACCCCTTCGAAAACTGCCATGCCAGTTTCTCCCTCGCCAAAATTTAGCCCAACTTTGGAGCATTATTCAGCCTCCTGTCTGACAAGCTAGAATGGTCATGTAGTATGTAGTAGTACAGACACAGTTGGTACCAATGGATGCCTTATGTTGTCTAGTTTCACAAGATACCAGTATCTTTGCATTTGCTGGATTTATACTTCTGTGTTGAATTGACACCGTACCTTCGGCATAGGCTCTGCAACAATGTAGAGCTTACGCCGTACCCTACGCCATAGCCTGATGTTCATCTCTCCAGTAATGTTCACCCAGACCTCCTGTCTATTTCTATAAGCTGAAACCATTTCCCTCAGTGGAAACAAAGCATTTATTTACTTTAATTTCACAGATGATAAACAATAAATTGTGAAGACAATAAAGTCTCCACAAAATAGCGTCGCTAGGTTGAATTGGACAATATAAAATACAATAAGCTTGTGCTAATAACGTTAGCATGTTGTATTATTTTGTTTGCTGACTTTGCAAATTACAAAGTTACATACTTATGGCATAATAAAGCACAAATATGTTGAAGCTCAATAAATTGCTCAATTCACAACTGGTGAAACAACACATTCTTCCTCTTTCAAATAAGAAGTTGAAGTAATAATCACAGTGTTGCTCAATTCAATTCTTTAACTTTATATTTCTGTGTAGCTCATAATAGCCCTTAAAGCACTGATTCTAACTCTTCTCTACAGGGTTCCCACACCTTTATACCAATCAAGTTAATATCTTTCCATAATATTTTACCCTATCTCCAGGTGACATGAAAAAGGGCACAATTTTGAGTGTGGAGATGTTCGCACACTTTGTTTTACCACAACTAAATTTGGCCATTATTCTGCTGTTGGGAAACACAGCTCTGAAAAACTCACCCGTGTTAACACACAAGCTGCACAAATACTGTGAGTCCATTGTCTGTGCCTGCATCACTTCAGTCGATAGCAGATCATTGGATAAGGCAATGGACTTTTAGACCATTAGCATCGGCTAATTTAGACTTAATAGGCTGTTTTACCTTCATTAAAAGCCCCAAAGCCTTGTTATTTATGGTCAAAATGGCTCTTTTGATAGTAAAGGTTGTTGACCCCTTCCCTAACCAATTCAACCATTGAAGACAACGAGTACTAGCCAATCAGAGCTAGAGTAGGAGGGCTCATTCCTTCGCTATCCTAGGAAATGCAAATTCACTTTGGGGAGACTGTGCGCTTGCTAACTTCACTCACTCATTAGACATTCCCCCCACCAGCTAGCTGCACACGCCAATGAGTATTGGGGGATTCTAGTGAGGTTACAACTGTCATGCAAACTCCGCACAGAACAGCTTCCCAACCTGGGATCGAACCAGGAACCCTCTTGCTGTGAGGCGACAGTGCTAACCACCGCACCACCGTGCCGCCCATGTTAAAAAAAGACAATTTAAAGTTTTCCCAATATCTTAACTTTTCCAGGAACTTCATGACCGTGGGAACCCTGTCTCTATTTGTGCTATTGCAACTCTGTGTTTTAACATTTACTCTTAACCTTGTCACCTGTGGAAACAATGCCCACTGTCTGAGGGAAGTTACTCACTTCATTATTCATTGAACATTTAGATGAATATTTGAGGACAAACCAAAAGTCTTTACAAAGCCAAAACATAACAATCCGAGACACGACATTGCTAACTCACTAACATTATGATTCTCTCTTATAGCAGATATGACCTCCACTCAAGCATCGCCCAGTGAGACCCACCCACTGGAGAAGCATATAACATGCTCCATCTGTATGGAGGTGTTTGTGGATCCTGTCACGACAGCTTGTGGCCACTCCTTTTGTAAGGAATGTCTGGACTTCAACTTTAGGTACAACGACATCATGTGCCCCCTGTGCAAGGCACATCTGAGTAAAATCCCACAGGTGAACATCGTCCTGAGAAGCCTTGTGGAAGAGATGACAAAGACCCCAGAGGAAGACGTTGATAAGTACACCGGGGCGCCTGGCGAAGTGGCCTGTGACATTTGCACAGAGCAAAAGCTGAAGGCTAAGAAGTCCTGCCTTGTCTGTCTTGCCTCGTATTGTTCAACCCACCTGGAGAATCATACTTCGACTGAAAGGCTGAAGGGCCACAAGCTGGTGGAACCTGTGGAGAACCTGGATGAGAGGGCCTGTCTGCAGCATGGACGTCCCTTGGAGCTGTACAGCAGGAAGACGAAGAGATGCATTTGTGTACGCTGTACTGAGGAAGATCAGGAGGAGGTTGTTTCCACTGAAGAAGAATGGGGCAAGAAGAAGGTAAACTAAAACATGTGTTTGGATTCAAATCACCAAAAAGTAGTACACGAATAATGACAAAGTTTGGACTTTGACCTGCTTTTTCTGACTACAGGCCAGGCTTGGAAACACAAAGGCAGAGTTACATGAGAAAATTAAGAAGAGAAAAACGCGGGTGGATGAGATTAATGCATCTCTCAAGAGCTGCAAGGTAAGTTGCAAGAGAGACAAACATGACTGATCCTGGGCTCGCCTGGTTTAAAGAGCCTATCAGACGACTGTGTCAGTGAAAACTGGCTGAGCAAGTTTGCGACAGTGTGGCAGTTAAACACCATGCCAGCACATGTTTTTATAGTACACGCAAATGATAATGCTGCTTCTCGGGCCAGATGGTGATATAATGAACTTTACCTAAAGGTCTCCAAGCAGTGGTGTAGTAGTATGGAAATGTTGATGCTTAGGCTATGTTTACATTACAGAACTTAATGCTCAGTTCTGATTATTTCCCCAGATCCGACCTTTCTGCCTAGACTGTTCACATTCATGTTTAAAGAAACCCATATCTCATATCAGTGTGAACAGATCTCTGCCCTTAAACGGCGCACGTGCAACCAGTAATGTTACACATATGCGCAATGGAACAAAACCAAAAAAGTCACATTTGCAAAACTGGTGTTTGGGGAAAAAATGAACAATGTAATGAGGCAAGTTTCACCTCTAAATGATCACAGTAATAGGAAGGTCAGATAATAAGTAGTCATGTGCTTGAGTGTGTAGTATCTTTGGAGAAATGGCACCTCAGAGCAATAAGCATTTTTTTCGGGATTAAGGGCTGTCGCACGAATGGGCTTTCGATCTGCCAACTTTATTGGTAGGTATTGCTGTTAGCTCTGTAGAGAGATGGGCTTGTGTGCGGCTGAAAGAGGAGTCAGGAGTGGCAACACATTCTCACTCCTACCTCATCACATATATCGACATTTGTTAATGGACTTTCCACGTCCAGATACAATGTGAAAGGCACCCTGGGTGCGTTGCTGCTGATGTTCTGGGACAACATGTCAAGTTCTGCCTATTACATGCATTGTTGTCTTTCAAAATACACTTCCATTTGCACAGAAAATTTACCATTTACATACAGTCTCTTTCAAAATAAAAGCACTACGTCGGTAAAACACCTTCAATAATGAACGCATATGGTTGGATTTAGGCAACAAACACACATGGTTTGGTTTAGGAAAAAAGAACAGAGTTTTGCTTTATAATCTTACGGAACGTGAACACCAGTCTTCCGGGGGAAAGTTTGTGTTTGTTGGTCCCACCCGCCCTACTTGGACTTTAGCTGCCTTCACTTTTGTTCTCTTTTCGTTTCTTCCTGGCGCTGCTGAGCACTGTTAAACTATAATGGCGACCAGCCGCGTATCATGCCAATGTGAAAGGACAGCTTTGTTTGTAAGGTGTCTGATGCCCCAAGTCATTGCCCAAGTGTCGGATTTTGACAACTTCGCAGTGAGACTGGGTTTGGAGTGATGGGGCCGTGATATGGAGGGTTTCACGAAGGAACAGTTCCTACAAACCTTAGGGCCCTGAAACAACAATCCGATGGTTGCCTGTTGGTCAATGTTGGGCTGAAGTTTAGCGTCCATAACCCTAGTTTTTGAGGTGTGTCCTGCAGTAGTTGGCCCTTGCAGCTTTTTTGTCAGCAAATTCAGCATAATTAATTGGTGCTGGAGACAGCTCAGTGCACGCTTACGAAACATAAGAGAAGAAAGAAAAGAAATGCCGTCAAGAGGACATGACATAGATATTAGGTGAGATTATTTTTCAGCCTTTGAGCTCCTTGGCAGAAACGGTTTCTAATTGTTTTGTCATCACTGTTCACTGGCACACAATAAATATCCTTTGTTCTTTAAATGTGGTTGTGTCTTTACCCTGCTAAGTGTTATTTCCTCTTTAGCAGGCACAAAAATCTACATGCTAGTTGGCCATTGGCTGTAATCTTTGCGGTGTGTTCAGGTGTAGCCTTATCCTACACAGGCAGCCTGAGGTGACACAAGGTTCACTTTTTGTTGCCACTAGTTCTTTCTTGGTTTGGTGTGTCTGAGTCTTTAGGATGTCCAAGGCTACATTCCAATATCTCTGTTGGTGCCTCACAACGCTGTCACGGCCTGTAGGCAAGTTGTACCCATCAGAAAGCATCTGGCAGTCAGGTTCTACTGGCTGACAACTGGGGCAGTCTACGGCAGGAGGGTACGGCTACAGTAGCCTTCTGTCGGACCACTCCGACACTGTACAGGGCGTGATCTGTTCCTACACAGTGAAGTTTAACGTGGAGAAACCATGGATGTATGAACAAAAACATGAATTCCAATATGACCGTTCCTATAGTGTCCCACTGCCAGTGATCATATCGGATATAGGACTACTTATTACAGTGACCCAGATCTGATCACCATATATATTGTGTTATACCTAACATTTCTGCAAGTGTTGTTGCTTGCTTGGCCTCACCCTTACCCTTCTGTATTTCCAGGACCAGCTGGAGAATGAGTGGTGGGATATTGAGGCTGTGTTTACAGCAGTGATTAACACTGTAGAGGAAGCCCAGGCTGCAGCTCTTAAGCCACTAAAGGACAGGAGGGAGGTTGTGGAGAAAGAAGCAAAACACATCAAGACAGAGTTGGAAGAAGAGATCGACAGGCTTGAGAAAGCCATCTTCGAGCTGGACGATATATCTGCACTTGAGGATCACATCCTTTTCCTTCAGGTGAGAGGAGTAGGGCATTTTTGCTGAATGAATGCGATCCAATTACCTCTAAATCTTTGTGGCTTTTATGGTTAGATCTTCTCTGTAGCCTGTTGGTTCATCTGTCTTTCTCCTTTTCCCTGTCTCAGAGATACCCATCTCTTCAAGACCTGGACAGCATCAATGACTTGACAGAGCTAGAGCTTGACACATCACTGTCTTTTGGCACGTTGAGAAAAATCACAACAGCCATGTTGCAACAGATCCAACGGGAAGTAGAGAAGCTGACCTCCACTGGTAAAGTTAAATAATGATGGTCAGTGTTAAAAGCTATGTTGACTTCATTCATCTAAAACTATTTCTTTACTTTGCAGAACTTCAGAGACTTCCAAAGTTTACAGGTACGTGTTTCTCCCTCATGATATATTTTCAAAAAATTGGCTTTTCTTGTCTGATCTTATTTTTAACTTGTAATTAACAGTGGATGTAACGCTGGATCCAACCACAGCACACCGACGCCTTGTTCTTTCTGATGATGGGAAGGAAGTGAAAGATGGAGGGGAGGACCAGGAAGTAGATGAAACTCCAGAGAGGTTTGATCTGTTTGCCAGCATCCTGGGGCTCAACAGGTTGACCTCTGGGAAGTCATTCTGGGAGGTGGAGGTCAGCAACAAGACGGGGTGGGACCTGGGTGTGGCAAGGGGCGATGCAAACCGCAAAGGGAAACTCTCTCTGATCCCAGATAGCGGTTACTGGGTCACCGTACTGTATGAAGACGATAAGTACGCAGCCCTGACATCTCCACCAGTTCGTCTTTCCCTTAAAGAGAAACCTCAGAAGGTCGGGGTGTTTGTGGACTTTGAGGAAGGTCTTGTGTCCTTCTACGATGTGACAGCTCAATCCCACATCTACTCCTTCACTGAGTGTTCGTTCAGTGACGAGCTCTTCCCGTATTTCAGTCCACATGTAAAGCAAGATGAGAAAAACTCTGGTCCTCTGGTTATATCTGCTGTGAAACACTGTGAGCAGGATGTGGATATGAAGGATGAGCAGGTTTGTGCTCCAGTTTAGGGAAATTTTGGAGGTCAAAAAATTGGGTTCAGTAGAATGTGGAGGAGGAATCTTAAGGCTCAGGATTGGATGGATTTGAAACAAATAATTAATCACTAAATAGAGAAGAATTTGAATTAGTAAAATTATTTGGAAAAGGATAGAGCTTCAACCCTCTGGAGTCAAACGTGCCGGTGCATCCAAATCACATGACCGATTTAAGATGACATAGCAGCAAGACGCAGCCTTGCTGAGAATCCATTTCAACTTAGTCGAGAGTGCAAATTTCAAACTATATACCAAGTTTGAATTGTGTTGATAGGTCAAGTAAAACCAGATTTATGATAAACAGTTTACGCTGTGCTTTTTCTTGAATATTGTCATCACGTTTGTTGCAAGAAGAAACAGTAAAAATTGGCTATTCTAAAGGAAAGTGCTCGTAAGGAATTCCGTGATTATGTACAGCATACCATACCATGACTCAGTCATACCAAAAATTAGAAAAACACAACAACATTGGGCCACAGGGGGCGCCACAGCGATCAGTCACATTTTAGCCATTTTTAAGCATTTTTCTGTTGTTATAGAGCCACCCAGTTGCCAATTAGAGTTAAATTTCTCCAGTCACCTTGAGGCGTCCTGTTCTACATATCTACCAAGTTTAGTAAAAATCGATATGGCAGTTAGGCCTAGATAAGAAATTAGCTCTCTAGCGCCCCCATTTTGTTTGATGGGGTCAATAATGGAGGGGTGCCCTAAGATTATGTGTGGTCATATGCCTACAAAGTTGTGTGGTGATCGGTGAAACCCTTGAGATGTTATACACCTTTATGTGATGAGCCACGCCCTCCGCAATATTCATTGCCTTGTAGAAGCTCAGTTTTAGTAAGTTTTCAACTTTTGCCAAGACGGAACTTTAGATATTGGTCCCTAGATTATGTTCACTGAGTTTCATACAGATCGGTCAAACTTCCTAGGAAGAGATCGATTTTAAGTGTTTTTCAAAAAATTCAAAATGTCGGAAAATCTATATAACCGGAAGTTATGGGTTCTTGTTTCACGTCTCTACAACATACGGGGCATGAGATATGCCCATTCAAAGTTTGCAATTTCAATCGTTTGCTATAGCGCCCCCCTTTGGCCAATTGATGTAATATTGCTTCATTAGCATCCTCCCATGACCCTCTACCACTGTGCCAAATTTCACATGGATTGAAGTCAGTGAGGAGAAAAACGTGGAATAGAGACAGACACACCCACAGACAGAGTTTTTGTCATTATATAGTAAGCTACAGCCAGCATCAATGGATTTACACTGTAATGAATGACCCAATGGACCCCTTCACAAACAATGATAGATAACAGATGTGCAATGTGTAAGGGCCTGTTTGTTACTTATTAGGGGGGGAGGGGTGGTGCAAAAAGGGAGAGGCATGTCAAGAATATTTTTTCAGCACTGGGTAGGGACGTGTTTTTATTTTAGGGGAGGGGCATATAAATTTAAATGGTTGTATTTTTTATGTATTTGACTGGTGATTTTTAAAGAAAACAAGCTGTTTTGTTTAAAAAAAAAAACCCTCAAAAGGCATGTTTTTAAAAAACCCACAGGGAGCTTTGGAAGGTATGTTTCCTTTAGAAAGTGTAAAAACAGAAATTATCATTGGATAAAATAGTAATATTTCATTAAAAATTTAGTCTATTCTATGTGACGTATGTTTATGTTTTATTAGTATCTCATTCAGTATTTTGTTCTTCTTGGAAAGCAGAACAAAAACAATAAAAAATATATTTAAATAAAATGAAATAATAAAATGAAAATGAATACCTTTTAAAAATGTAAATAAAAAAAATAACCATTTTCGAATTTAATCAACTGTCTTCTGACTTTTTTTTTTAATCCACCATTTGAACAAATCTGTATTGTGCAACAGGGTGGTTGAGTCACAGCTGGGCAGAGAACAGGGCGGTTGGCGGGTTATTTTCCCTCTTTTATGCAGAAATGAAACTGAAAGCAGAAAAAGCGCGCCCTACCCACCGAACATCAGTGGCAGGGAGTGAATCTTTTTACAGGCACCAGCACAAAGAAGAAAAGCATCAGGTAACGCAACACATGGATACACACTCTTATCTCTTGCTCTTTTTTAACGCTTATTAACGATCTGTGCAGAGTATGAACTATTTAAATGAGAGTTTTGAGGTTTTGGCATGATTCAAAAAAACACAACAGCTATCCATCTTAGAGACTTTTGGTCACCGTGATGTTTGTGGTGATGTTATATCAGTTTGAGCATCTCGGCCAGATTAAGAAGCCCATGCATGGAGAGAGATGTTTGTTAATTGGGTTAATGTGTAAGCAGCCCAAACCCATGCATTAATTAGCAGCCTGACAACTCGCTGAGATGCTCATCATGCATTATAGTAGATAATGTAGTCTAATTGAATGTGTGAAGAGCTGCATGACGTAATTTTTCTGACAAATATCTCAAAAGTGATACATCATAAATGATTTTTAACCAGGAAGTCCCACTGTGACGGAAAATCTTTAACAAGAGAGACCTGGCTGAAAATGCAACAAATACAACATATAATACAAAAACTCACAACAAAACAACAACTATTCAAACAAAGTGACGTCTCATGAAAAACAAGCGCATGGTTCTATCACCATATTCTGTATGATGCCCTAGTGGATATAAGTGTTTGTAATGTTAGATCTTTGTGAAGATTGCTCCATGTCCAAGGTGCAGAGTAGGAAAATGCTGTTTTCCCAAGATCTGTTAAAGCAACTCTTACCTTTCTTGCATTTCACACAGCACTAACGTAACTCGTAACTCGTAACTCCATTACGTCCTCATTATGTCTATGATAGACGTAGGTGTTGGCAAGGTAACGTTAGATACACGGAAGAGGAGAGCGAGTGCAACGTTACAACCAAGACAGTCAAGCGCAACCCCGGAGTTTTAAACCTCGACCAGAGTCAGTGATGACTGATGAGTTTTAGAATAAGGTTACAGTGCTAACGTTAGATAGTAGCATTAACGTAAGTGGAAACGCACAAGGAAGATAACATTAATGTTTCAGAGGCTACAACAGAGGCTGTTGTCATATAACCTTATATGTTATATTAGAAGCAAACTAAACATAACATTACCTGTCCTGCACAGTCAAACGCAACCCCGGAGTTTTGAAACTTATCCAGGGTCAGTGATGACTGATGAGTTTTAGAATATAACGTAAACGCTAACGTTAGTACTGGTGACTGGCAACAAACAAGGAAGATAATACAGAGGCCAAGGCAACATTAGGCTAGGCTAACTGTTAGCAAATGGACCCTGTGTTGTCATATAATGTTATAGCGTATATTATATTACGGGTGTGGGGGGGGGGGGGGGCGAGCGGTTACATCAGTCGGAGGAGGCCTCCACGTGGGGAAGACAGACAGGACGCTCGGCCAATTGACCTATGGCTAAGCCACGCCCCCCTCCACTCACTCAGACAAACTATCAACATTCAGTGTCCGGGGTGCTATGGCAGGTGTCACAGTACACCGCATTTTGCAGGTCACAGTGTACGCTTATGAACCGCATCTCGTTGCTGTCACCATCAAAGACAGCAAGTTAAAGTGCCACTGAAGTTAAGGTTTTTGGCTCAGAATATGAGAAAAGGATAACAGCGTTTTTACCATCTTTACCAAGAGTGTCTCTCCGTTAGTTTGGTGCTACAGTATTTACAATGAATCATTCAGCATAACGTTTGCCAACCTTTGTTATCTCTGCCATTACAGTTAATGAAGCTAAGCTCCAGAAGTTAACGTTAGCTTAACTAGAGCCCTTTGGACAACAGCTAACAATGATGTACGATCACCAAAGTACAAAACTAGAACAAAATAGGCTAATGAACTCCCAGTACACAAGGTGACATGATGAACAACGTAGCTAGGAGCTAATGTTAGGCTAACTTTAGCTAACGTTAGCTAGAGATGATAAAGATAACTTTATATTTCTTTCCAGCAAAGTGACAATATGTTGCCTCAAACACAATGTTGACTTACCTTAGAACAGATGTAGACATCATTGTTAATCTTATTCACGTTGAGTTGATGTTGTGGTCTAACGTTACCACACAACTTTATCCAAAGGAGACACTTTTCTCGGTTGAGATGTGGTTTAAAGTGTAAAAACCGAGCTGTCAGTATCATTGCATGCAGAGAAGCCCCTCTCTCACGCCGCAGAGGTCGGAAGAATAGCGTTGCTCGCCACAGTGAGTCTTTAAGGTTTTGTTCCTCGCCTTTTAGTTTCCAGTCTCTGAACTCACTGACAGCTTCATCGCTGGACTCTCCGAGAAGTTTAGCAAACTTCCCCACCTCACGCTCTCCAAACAGAACAAGTTCTGTCCTCTCTTTCGGCCAGAAGTGCTGATCCATAGGCTTTAACATGGTGATCAACTCACTATCAGGGAGATGAGTGAATGGTAAAATTGGGACTTGTTTGTTTTACTTTGAGTTTTGGTGACATCAGCTTCTTTGCACTGACCGCTGGGTATGGCCGTTTTGAGTTTCTGTTCTGTTTTCCCACCTTGGTCCTGCATGGCAGAGAGCACCTCAATTGTTTGGTGAATGTGGCGGCTTGCATCGACCAGGGACGTGTCACGTTTCTGTAACTTGAGGGAGAGATTTCGTAGTTCACGCAGCACGTCTTTCATTGTCGCTAAATCAGCAAGGAATCCAGTGGATGTGAGATGCTTATGTAAACCAGTGTACTTGGCCTTTTCCACACCAGAACGAGAACCATCTTCACCAGCTGTTTCAAAGTGCTTTGCTAATACTGGGAAATCCTTCAGCACAGCTTTGACAGTGCGGAAACTGCTGGACACCTAACTGTAAACACATTGCCTATCTTCAGTATCTGCATGTTCAGTTCGGCTACTGCTTCCTCCAACTTCCTTGCATTTTGTGAGGACTGGTGGTAAAGGGAGTAGAGTTTTGAGAGGAAAAAGTCCAAGTGGTTACAGCCTGCCACCTCTTTCAATGAGTCACTCACCGCTAATTCTAAACGCTGCGCGAGACAGTGAACAGCCTGCAGTC